CAGGCCCCGCTGGCGGCGCCCGGGGAGGGGAGCGGAGCGGGCCCGCCCTCAGCGGTCCCCCCGGCTCCGCTGCACTCACCGCTCCGGGGCGCGGGCTGCGGCTCAGGGAGGGCGGCGGGGAGCGGCGTCGCCGAGCCCCGAGGCGGCGGAGCGGCGGCGGCCGCGGTGCCTGCGCCGCTCGGGGCCGGGCTGGGCGGGGCCGGACGTGAGCGAACTTCCGCGGGGCGGCGGGGTCGCCATGGCGGGTGAGTGAGGGGGGAGCTGCAGGGGGTGAGCGCGGGAGCAGCCAGAGGCGGGGTCCCGGCGTTTTCTCAGCAAACCAACGGGGTTCAAAGTGCCCGTGGTGCTCCGCCAGCCCGCCGGGCTGCTGCTGTCACACCCCGGTGTGCGCCGCGTGTAGCGCCTCGCTCATGCTCCGGTGTAACGGGGTCCCCCATGTGTTTTACCACCTTTCTGTATAAATATCTGAAGGGTGGATGTCAAGAGAATTGAGCCAGGCTCTTCTCGTTAGTGCAAACTAACAGAACAAGAGGCAGTGGGCAGAAACTAATGCACAGGAAGTTCCACGTGAAGATGAGGAAGATTTATTACTATGCAGTGACCGAGCCCTGAAGCAGATGAGCAGAGAGGTTGTGGAGTCTCCTTCGCTGGAGATACCCGGGTATCGCTGGAGAACCGTCTGGACGCAATCCTGTGCCATGTGCTCTGGGATGGCCCTGCTTGAGCAGGGAGGTTGGAGCAGCTGGCCCACTGGGGCCCCTCCCCACCTGACCCATTCTGTGGTTTTGTGTGGACTTTATATCTTTGGATGTGAAGAACTCTTTTCAGGCATCTCTGTGGATAAAAGCTGAAGCTAGCAAACATTCAGGCAGGGTATTTGGCTTGGCTTTGAGCCGTGCTTTGGCTGCCAGGGCAGGACCTGAGGTGCAAAGGTGGAGCTGCTTTGTGTGATCAGACGAAGTGCTGCAGGTTCTTACAGCTGTCTGCCCTCCAAGGAGACACCATGAGAAAAGGACTTTGTGCTCAGCAGTAAAGCACCCACCACCTTCAGCAGAACCCCGCCTTTCCCCAAACTCTTGCAGCTCACATGTTGCTGTGAATGAATTCTGACATTCATGTCATGAGCACTGCATGCATGCACGGTAATTGCTGCTGTGATTTCTCTCTGTCGTGCACTGCATTAGCATCTGTTGGTCATTTGATGTCAGGAGACTGCTGGATCTTACAGCACTACAAAGCACTGCTGTCCGTGCTGCAACTACACATCGCAGAATGTGCTTGTGCTTGTTTAATAACATGGTTTTCTTGCAAATAGCAATGGATGAGGAATTAGATTTCATGCCAAATGTAAATTCCATTTTACTTTAATCAATATTTGCCATTAAAGCAAGGAGATCATTCACACAAATAGCTGGTGGACACTGATTTGTTTCTGTCTTTAAATGGCTTCAATATCTTTATTTTCTCATACAGCAAAAAGTCCTCCTGATAGTACTCCAAGAAGGCCTGTTTTATCTGTCAGTGCAAGAAAAATTAAAGATAATGCAGCAGACTGGCATAATTTAATGATGAAATGGGAGAGACTGAATGATAATGGATTTACTACAACAAACAAAATAGTCAACATGAGGATCAGTGAGCAGTAAGTATGCTAATACACATGAATAAAGACAGCATAAAGATTGCTTTTATTGAGAGATTAATCTGCTGTCTTCACTAGAAAGTTATTTTAGGAGATGGGAAAAGAACACGTCACAGTGGATAAACTAGCTCTTGGATCAAACTCAGCAGTTGCAATTTTTTGGTTACATAAACTATTTACATTCAAATAATATCTAATACAGTAATATTTGCAATAAATGGGAAATGCTTATTTTACATAGTCAAATGTAACATATTTTAAACACTTATATAATGTACCAAGTTAAATCTAATTCTATAAATCTTAGCCCGTGTGAGTTCCCTTATTCTCTTGCATGTTTTACAGTGAGGTGTAAAAAATTCAAGTCAAAAGTTCAGAAGAATTTAAGAAAGAATCAATCATTTGTACAGACAAAAAGTTTTAACAGTGATGACTTAAAACCAACAAAGAATCAACAAAAATACCACACCACAGCCACCATAAAAAACCACAGAAAAACTGAAAAAATCCTCCAACTTTGGTAGAGTTTTTATTTTCATGCTGTAGTGAAAAACCTTAACTAACAGGGCTGTGAGCAGCTTCTCCAGATTCCTGACAGCTGGAGAGGGTTTGTCTGACAGGGTTCTGACAGGTACAAGCTGAGGAATATTTTGCTGTAACGGTGCCAGATGTTGCTTTTGCTCTTTAGCAGCTCTCTCTCTCCAGTCTGGTGTGGGAGAGTCTGCCAGACAGGGCAGATGTCTGCACATTGGCTGCTCTGGGGTCACAGATAAATGTCTTGGCTTAAATTTGCACAAAGGTGAGTTTCTGGTGAGGCACCAGATTGTCCTGTGGAGCAGCTGAAGCCTGGGCATACCTTGTTGATGATGAGAGGACAACCTCCAACACAGGGACAAAGTAAAGAGCGGAAAAGTGTTAAGATCTTAACACCTGCAAATGTTTTTTCCCACATGGCCAGCTATGCTTTGTGCTATTTTTATGTAGGAATTCTCATAAACAGCCTGTGAGTGAGAGATTTTGTAGGATCAGATCACAAGGATTTTAAATCTGCACTGCTCAAGTAAACCTATATGTAGTTGTTTATGCTGCCTCATGTTTCTGTTTCAGATTTCAAGATAACAAATTGGAGATAACATGTGATAACAGTGCCACAGAACCTGAAAAGCCAACCCCAAAATACAATGAAGAGCTGGACAATTGCTGTGCAGAATTACTTGAGACCTTAAAGCATATGGTAATACTAATTTTTCAGACTTAGTCTACATGAATCAATTCCAAGTGTGCTCAAGTAACAAGGAAATGTCCCGAAGTGTTTATTGTAGGCAGAAAACTGGGATTTTCATTCATAGTTCTTTGGCTTCAAACCTAAATTGCTGTAAATCCAGATTTTGTGTGATCAGAGGAATTTATTTGCATTTATTTGATTGATTGGTAAATTTCAAAGTTGGTTTTACATCTTCTGTCAGCTTATAGTTCTACTCCCCCCTTTATAAAGTGATGTAGAAACAAATCATACAAAGAATGCATTCCAAAGGTGCACCTGTTTTCTGTTTCTCATCCTGGATATTCCCTCTGTTTAGAACAAAAGAAACAGCAAAGCATAAAGCAGTGCTTTACCTGCCATCATATCCTTGCAGCTGTCTTTGATCATAATGCAGTCACATATTTAGCCTGCCTACCTGTATTTGCTGTGCAGATCTCCTTCTCTGGAGATCTTTTTCTGGATACCTTGCTAGGAATTAATGTCACCTGTCAGTTTGACAGGAAGCAAACAATTTTTTTCTGCCAGATACTGTAATTCAAAGTTGTTATTAAAAATAACTTTTACAGCCTTTTGCCAAACTGGAGGCCCATTAAAAGGATGGTAGATCTATTTTTTATATAGTCAGGATATAGACCTCCAGTACTTAGAAAAAGCAGGAAAGTGGCTAGATTTCCCTTAGATTTTTTTTTTTTTCTGTGGGTAAAATAGTTGGGTATTTTTTTTCCTTGATGTACTCTTATATTCAGACTACAAATGCATTGATGAAAGTTTCTACTCTTCCTGAGGAGCAGGAGTCTAAGCAGTCAGTGTTAGATTGGATACTAAACATAGCTACTATGACCTAATTTATTTTTCATTCCTTAGGAGTTTATATGAGCTTACAGGTTCAGAGATGTATCTGTGGTTTAGCCTGCTTGATGTAAAGATAGTGCCTGCAAGCTCATTTTGGTGTAAATATTCATACCCAAATGCACAGAGTCAGATGAACATGAAGGAAGTGGATGGAATTACCTATTTTTTGAAGCAAGCTGTTAGATCACCCTAGATATATTGTCAGTAGTAGCTTGAGCTGCTTTTCTCACCTGCTGCTGATGTTTTGAAATAAAAGTCATCTTGATATGGTAATGTACAAAAATATCTTGATAGGGCTTGTGCTATACCAGTGGGATGTTTTTTTCCCAGTACTAAATTGCTATAGGAAAAGGTAGGGAGGTGAAAAAATGAGAAGGCTTTAGTATATTTCTACATGTGGGAAACAAAAGAATGTCCAAAACAGTGTCATATCTGCAGGGTTCAAAATTTCTGGGTATCTCATATTAAGTGTTTATCTAGATTTCAGTTTTGATTCCTGTTTGGAGTTAAAAAATTGTGAGTTAGAAATATCAGTATTAAATAGCCTTCATAAATAGTGTGTTTTCAAAAAATGTTTAAGATTATAGTAGCCTAATGTTGCTGAGACACTCATTAACATTCCGTGTTTATCGTTTACAGACAAAAATACAACTGAAAATGGAAAAGCTTACTTCAACTACTAAAGCAATCTGTGACTTGGAAACATTCCACCACAGAGATGGGAATTGCAAGGCTCCCTTCTTTCATACATGGCCCACACCATACTTCTGTAAGTAAAATATTGATTATCTTAGCTAATTACATTGTGTCATCAGTGTCATCTAATTTATGACTGAAAAATAAACCCTCTTATCTGGATGTCTTTTGCCTGAGAGGGAGAGAGTGCTGTCTCCTTTACAATTGACTAATCAATAAACACATGAATGCATCACTTGGTTTAGGGTTACTGCTGATGACTGCCAAGCATTGTCTGACATGCAACAATTACAGCATAGAACTAAATTTGTCAGCAGCTTACAGTGTCCAAGCTGCAACAGCCACATCCTCTGCAGGCAGAGATGAATTTGCAACTTGCTGATGTTAAATTGCAGGCTTAACTACTTGACTTCTTACTTGACATTGAAATTAAATCCTTGAATACAAAGAGCAAGCTATACATCAGTTAATTCTCAAGCAGACAAAGAAAAATACCTCTGATCTCAGTGTCAATCAAGACAAGTAAAGAAATGTTACACTCTACTGTTAATATTAATTCTTTTAGTGTTCACTTGATGGCAAAAGGTACTGCCTCCCAACTGGTATTACCCACTTTAAAACTGTCTGAATTCAAGAGAAGCCTGATTGCATGCAAACCAACTGCCTTCTTTGTGAAAATCATACCTCTGCCTCTTACTTCATTACTACAATTTAGCAGAAATCTTAATGTATTCGTTTCTGCTAGCTTAAAATAATAAGAATGATAAAGACAACTGCTGTCAAAACACCCATTGTGACTGAATCATTTAGTGATGCTGTCTGCTCCATGAAAGACTAAATCCTTCTGAAGATAGTGATAGTTCAGGATAAGTTAGAAGCACAAAATACTTTGTGTAGTAATTTTTTAGGAATTCAAACAGTGAAAGATTACAGATGCATTTTAACCCCCCTACCAGTTTTACTAACTTAACTAGTAACAGTTTTAGCAATAAATGCTTTGGTTTTGGTCTGTTGGGGTGTTTTTTACTGTTGTTTTTCACTGTTGGTATTATTTATTGGTGATCATGCATTGCTGAAGTGCTTTACAGCATGTGAGGGCATCTTTAAGATTAGTTAAAATCAAGAGCAACTCTAAAATGTGAAGTTTGTATTGCAGGATAGCATTACCAAATTTTAAAATCAAATTTCAGTTATTTGAGGAATAGCTGTAACTGATAATATTACCGTGGGTCCTGAGACCAATACCATTGCTTATTCTATAATTAAATGTGAACTCGTATCAAAATCAGCAGCATGTAAAATACATCCCAAAGCTGAGGAAATTGTTTAGCATTTTATAGTCTAATGTAAAAACATCATTAATGCTGTTAAAAAAAAAAAAAAAAAGATGGCTAAATTTGGGGAATAGCTTATGTAAGGTAGGGGGGTTTTATGATCCATGTATTATAAGTAAAATTTAGCTTTTAGAGAATTGCTGAAATGTTCTGGTAATGTGCTTGGTTTTTCAAACCATTTCAGATGAGGTTTCTCTGAAGCTGTCTGAAATGTACAAGAAGGAACTACAACTCAAGCAAACAATTGTACAAGACATTGCTCATTGTGCTGACCAGGATCTGATGATGGTGTATTTATCATCGTGGCTGTACCAGCCTTACATTGAGAACAGCAGCATGCTGCTGCTCGAAGCCATGCTGCTGGAAACAGGACACAGGCAGTGCTAGAGTTGCAAAGGTTACATGGCTGGCTTCTAGTGATGCTTAGATGAAACTAAACTGGCATATTGCAAGGCTTACCAAGTAAGTTCATTTTTTGTAAAACTTATTAAAAATACTTTTCTCATATTCCTTATTTTGTCTCAGCTGATACTTCTTTTTCTGTGTGGGACTATGTAGTTTTGGTTGTTTTTTATCTATTTTAAGGGCAACACAGAGGCTACATGTAGGAGGCTAAGTCCTCTATAGTCAGAAAGAGGTAAGCACTGCTTAGTAGTCTAGGGGATTCAATACAAATACAATCTACAGCAAAAAATGTTACTTCCTCCCAAGTCTGGACAGCCTAAAATACCTACAGTCCCTTTTGCCACAGAAATTCAGCACTTGATCTTCTATGGGTTTGTTTTTTGGGTTTTTTAATGAATTAACAGGGCAAATTATTTTGTACTTGATTTATAAGTGGAGGAAAGGAAAGCACAAAAAGGATCCACGTAGTTTGGTATGTGATTTTGAAATGCTGTTGCAGACAATGGTGTAAATTCTGGTTTGGTTTTGATTCTGGTGTTGTTGGTTACTGCACCAGTGTGAGGTAGGTACATGACCCTCAGAGAGTGATCCAAGCCTGAACCAGCACCAAGGGAAGGTTTAGTACAACTCAGCATTCTGCACTCATTATATAATAAGGTCTTGTCCCTTTTAATT